TAATTTATACAATAAAATTTGATCGTCTCGATTCTCGAAATTTGCACGACGCGATGTTAAGTAGATATACTGCAACTTGGAAATCTTTGAAAAATCGTATTATTGCCCTTGTATTGACTGAATAGTGATCGACAGCGACGTTCCGGAAGTATCTCGTCCACGTGATGCAATCCTTATGCGGGCATGTGACTCGATCCAATGTGCTCCGGCACATCACCGCGGCAACATCGTTGCTCGAAGTATTTTCGTAACACCGATCGAATGATCCACTTTTTATAGGATCTACTCATCAGGAAACACTGAACGTATCAATCAATAAACTATCTTACATTCCAACGAAACACTATTCTCTTGAAAAAATCTAAAACACTAAACCGATTTTCACCAATTCCGACACTTCGACCAATCGAATACAAGTTCTTGCCCACGTTATCTAACTTTCTATTCTTTACGTTAGAAACAAAACCAGAAGAAAAGAAGAAAGGACAAAGAAAAATAATCTCCGAAGAAAAACACAAGGTGAAGAGCAAGACAACAACGAGAGAAGACGGTATATATACCAATCTCAGTGAAAGTGGTGGATCTTCGTGATCGAATCGATAAATTTGTCGATCTCTCGACAAATCTCGTTCTTCGGTTTTTCCCCTGCGCTTGGCTCGTTGCTCTTCTTCGATAATGACTTCTTTGAGATAACGCGTTCGGATATCTCGCGTGAGATATGATATGATATGGATAATCCGCAGTGTAAAGTAAAATTTCGGACAACAGTATGGCGCGGCACGATCAAGCTAAACAGCAGCGTTCGCGGTTCGAAACGTTATTAGAAGGGGCGTAATAGCATTAGCTTTGAATTTTCGTCTTGGCGAGGCGCCGCGACGCATGCGGCTTGCGTTTAAACGGCAAGGAACGAAAATCGACGACAGCCGAGATGCGGCGCACGCCGCGCCGTTCCTAAGAATAATATTCGTCCGGCTTCTTCTTCGTCTTCGTCTGCCAGTTCGTCGTGCTCTCCTCTAGGGAGGAAAGGCGAGTTCATTGGCTCGAACATCTTTGCCATCGCCGCTTGTTCTCCACTCTTTTTTGGCACACCGAGTAGAGATGTGATTACAATGTGGGCCGACTAGGTTGCATCGGATGTTGCAACACGCGAGAAAACTGAAATTTCAACCTCTTTTCGCGACTACTATGTACTTGAGATTTGGATGAAATATATCGTAGAATTGAGAATATCGTATCGCTCGTATGTACGAACTGCTCAGAAGTCAGTCAGTCGGTAAGCTACATTTTGCACGAAGTTTTCAATTTCATTGGTTAAACGCACGAGTCATACTTAAAATATTAGAAAAAACAGAGGAACTTATTTTTAAACATGAACAGTGTAGTGTGATTACGAATTTTATGACAAATCGTCAAAAATAATACTTAATTGTCATTTTTCTTTACATGTCAAAGGAATTAGAAAATGGAGCGGAATCTCTTATTTGAATTCTAATTTGTCAATCGTATTTATAAAAGTGAAGATTTGTCTATGTAAATATTTGCGATCCATTGTTAGACTTTTGACTTGATTCGAATAAATTAAAATTAAGACGTTGTTCTATATAAAATTGTCGTTCAACCATGTTGCTGTCATCTCGCTTTATTTGAATTGGACCAATTATAAGTTTCACGTTCAATAATTAAAGAATCCTATTAATATTTTTAAGGATTTCTATATTTTCATCTGTAAACACAACTTCGTTTGGTGGTATGAAGCGAGCAATTAAATAAAACATTAAAGCAACTGACGAGAGAGAACAAACTTATTATCAACTCTTATTATCAACGCTCGAGGTCACGACTATCTACGATAAAAATAGCAGCTCTAACGTCAAAAAAAATCGATCCAAATTAATTTTGTAGCATCTACACTATCTACTTTTTTTATATCTAGCAACGAAAATCAAATGAACATCAATGGAAATAATCAAACCGTCACTAAACTTCACTTCTTATCTTAAAAGTCGTCATATAAAATTCAGCGACTTCGTCTCTGGAAAAAGAAGGAAAGAGAAAGAGAAGAGCGAGCCGAACAATCACTGCTTGCTTTCACAATTTTTTACGACACAACCGGGGATATATTTTCTTTTGTTACATTGCAGCGAGAGACACGTGCTGCAATATACCGGAACACGTTCCGCTAACACGTTCTGCTCCGGTATCGATTGCTGATAGAGGCCACAAGCGCTGACGGTCACAATATTTAAGCCAATAACCGCGTACAATCCCGCTAACCCAATAAACGACCGTGAAAATTTCATTGTTACGTACTGTCAATCGACATGCCGTGCTCGTTCACCACCAAGGTGCGTCTACGCACTTCCCGACTGTCTGTCCGACTATTGCACAACTTGACAGACACTGTTACTGCTGCTCGACGCACACTTTTGATTCGTTATTACAACAAGCTTTCAATAAATTATAATTAAAAGCAGAACGAAAGAAATTCACGCTGAAACGCCAAGCTTCTAAGATAACAATTAATATGTTGAAGCTCCGGACGGAATTTCAACAATTAATTCGACTGAATTATAACTGATTTATAATCACACGAAAGAAAAAAAAAAAAAAAAGAAAACCTTCGAAATCACTGTCACGGATTTGCACACTTTACTGTATTCTCTGTGTTCACGAGAGAAATCTTCGAGGAATCACGAGATCCTCTTTAACTCGGCCGTACAATCCACGGAACGTCAAGTTCACGTAAGCGACTCGGTAATAATTGACACGACAGCTTAATAAACGGCTCGTCGTGAGGACACGCGGACCAGCCTCCGCTACTTAGCAACGGCAAACTCTCGCCACGCTTTATTTCCAGTGTGCGGCGCCGCGTACGAATGGTGACTGACGTGTGCAAACCCGGGCCGCTGATATTACGCCATGAAATTCAGAAGCGGGCCAACGTGCCGCCGCGGTCGCTTCACTTTTCCTTGTCAAATCTATATTTAGTGTGAATTCGATCGACAACGAGGGAGAGTCTGACGGAGTGAGAGTCACGATTCGGCGAGGGGGTTGGCGAGCGCAACCCCTTTACGAAACGAGAACGTGGAATCCG